AGCTAATTTGGGTGGGGAAAAGTGTTACAGAAAAAAACGTCGAATTGCCCCGAAAACGTCGAATTGCCCCGCCGCACTTTACTCCGGAGGACCGTTAAATTGCAGGCGCTTTTAGCCCGCACGAGTAGCTTGCGAAGCATAATTGTTGTGGAATGATGTGCTATGAATAACCATGGGCACAATGCGGGTTTATCGATTATGGTAAAACAAAGGAGTGTGTCATTGTGGTTAAGGAACATCCTGCGGGCCATCTATAATCCGCCAAGCACCTTGGACTTTAGACATTGAGTGGCCATTTGGTACTGAGATCACAGATATAACTGGGCTCGAGTGTAATATGTAGCCCGCCCGGTTACTCCGCCGCCCGATGGCGGTGTTACCTTCATTCGACATCAGTTCTTTTGGTCAGGCTGAGTAACTGGTCAAGGGTTTCCATACAAGTGAGGCAATGCCATCCCGTTTCGTTCCACCTCCAAGCAGCAGCAGCGAATAACAACACAAAGCCCCACCGCTAAACCCATTGGACTTTTCCTCTTTGTCATCAGTTTCCAGTTGGCAGAGCCTTGCAAAAACATTCGCCTTTTCCGGCACCCCGGGTGCAGGCTCGCTTACCCTTGGCCCCGGTTGGCTGAAAAGACCCAATACCGATAGTTTGCAGCTTTCCGCATCACTGCAGGACGTGGCTGGCTGGGGCGAAAGGAGGGTGGGCGCACGGGCCGTTGGGCTGAGCCGTCACTTGCGCGGGCTGTTTGTTTTAGCGTCGAAACTACATCCTCTCGTGGACCGGCAGAATTCCTAGCTCAACATCGAGCTTTGAGCGGAAACAGGTCAGGCTGGGAGACTTCCTCGTCGTCAGTTCGGAAGCGCAATTTGACGGGTTTGAAACCCGGCCCATCCAACTTCCACACTTACAGCATAGCATGGCGAGATCCGTTTCCTCACGCCCCTTGTTCTTGGTAAATAGGTATTGACGGCAGACACGGGAGGCAGCGTGTCTTGGCGGGGTGGCTGTTGGCTTGCAGATTCCTGCCCTGATTGGGCGCTCGGAGATGCATGGCGTCGTGGAGCCCCATGTGCGGCTGGAAAGAGACTGCACCATCCCCCAGCCTGGGCTTCGGGCCCTTAAGCACGCCATGCCCAGAAGGAAAACCTGCCTGCTCCTCCAGTTGCCCTTGCTCTGCAACAGTGTCAGTCGCCAATTGCGCCCTCGTTGTGGGGGTGACAAGCAAGGACAACGACCCAACATCTGATCCGGCCATCGACGTGCCGCCCAACAAGGATGAAGTGCGTATCAATGGCGGCGTTCTGGGCGGGTGTCGCCCTGCCCGCCGCTGCCATGCGTGCCGAGGGCGCTCAAGCCGCGTTGCTGGAGGCGGGGAACATGAACCTGTTCCAGGCCAGGCAGACGGCCATGCACCCGCACCGTCTCATCGACAGGGCGCCGGCGCCGACTCCAGCCTCCGAGGTCTTCCCGCCAAGCGATGCCCTGGAGAAGCGAGGCAGCAACAACAACACTCTTGGGTTCATGCCTGTGCCGAACTGTCGGTCATTCGCCGCCTTCTCTTGCTGTCGATATCTCACCTGGCTGACAATAAAGCCTTGTATACTCTACAGCATTGGCTATCACATGCCCTGCAGAATGGGGCTCGACCATATTCCCGTCGCGTGGGGTGGTCGGGTGCTGTCAGGATATCGCGAGCTCAACGCCGTCCTGTATCGGATATACGACCTGCCTCGACTCGTCGCAGAAAACCTCGTACACAACCGATAATGGCTTCACTCGATACTGGTATGCCTATGTCTTTACATCCACTCGGCGCTTCAAGGATACATGTCTGCTTGGTTGATGTGGAAGCTCATCACCCCCTGGTTCTCGATGCAGTGGCTATTCCCAATTCCAGTACTGCTATCTCTGGCGCTTCCCAAACGAACAATACAGTCTCTGGAACTGCGACTCCACCCCCTCCGGCACCGGCACCCTTTATCGCACACCCGGCCCGGTCACGGTGCGGGTAACGACGACGACTAGGGCCGGAGGATCCAGCATCACGTCGACACTATCCTCCGACACGGCGGCCAACACAAACAAGCAGCCCGGCGTCGGTCCCCAGGGGCAGCAGCCGCAGCAGTCGCAGGCGCAGGAGCCTTTGAACATCGGCGCCATAGTGGGCGGGGCTGTCGGAGGGGTCGCGATACTCGCCATCCTCATCTTTGCCATCACCTTCCTCTTCTTCCGAAACCGCAAGCCCGACAGCGGCGCCGCCCCCACAACCACCGGCGGCGACGGCCCTGGAGTTGGCTCGCCAGGGCTGGTGGGATCGCCCACTGGGCATCATCCGGAGGCTGGCGTGAACCACCAGTACGCCACGTACGGCGGCTACGCGCCCGTCATGGCCCAGTCGCCGCATGTGGCGGGCGACAATCGCGTAAGCACGTTCAAGCCGCCGGCTGGATTCAACACCAGCGCGCACGAGACTGGGGCCACCGGAAGCCCCCAGCCTCACTACCAGCACCACCCGCAGCAGTCGCCGCCGCCGCAATACGCCGGCCAGACATTTGAGTTGCCGATCGAGCAAGACCGGCGTCCATACGGGCTGCACGAGGCTGCTTGAGCTGGAGTGATTCGTGTCCATCGGAGATGCTTCCCAGACAGTATGGTAATGGTAGTTTGTATCTGATACCGGGAGGGACGTTCACGCGCCCTAAAGGCACGTAACCGTCTCCCACCAGGTAGGGTTCTCGCCCACGGCCGCCACAGCGCCGTGCCATAACACTTTACCGCCTTCCCTTGTCCGCATGGGCTTTGGGGTTTTGTACCAGATATATAATGGATGGCAGCGCAGCGTATTCGCCTCTTGAGCTCTCCCGCATTGGATATCGGACTGCTTGCATGTAACGGCAGCCAGTAGAGGCTGAAGGCCCCCAAATGAACGTAATGTTGCCGCGCGCTTTCCCGCCCAATTGCAAGCCACCGGCGCGCTTTGAGTGAGCCTGCAGTGGAACAGCCGACAACGCCGTGAACGGGGGGTTTATTCTACTGGTCGCCTTCCCAGGCCACTGGACATCTTGTTCCAAATGGTGGAACGAAACTTGGCCACTATTCCCGGCCCTGGCCGCCCCTTGCACCACGTCACAGATTAGAAACTGGGAGCCGCGCCCCGTCCTGGCGTGCAGAGGAGGGCCGACAGAGGTGGTGCCTGGCCCGGCTGTGGTAACATGGCATGCTGACGGCTAGCGTTCACGACGCCTGCCGCTCAGCTTGGTTTTAAAACGGAGGTTCTAGACGCTTCCTTTTCGCGGCTCGTGCGATACTGGTCTGCTCGCTCCTTTTGTCCCGGGGTCACACTCGGAACGTACAAAACTTTACTCCCGTGGACCTTGGTGTCTACGCCTCTGAGAATTTCCCTTTCGCACGCACACACACACACACACACACACACACTCTCTCTCTCTCTCTCTCTCTCTCTCTCTCTCTCTACTACTACTACGTACGTACGACGTAC